TGACCGGACAGTGATCAGCAACAGGTGAGAGAATCTTAGATGTGGATGGGAGGTCTCGCCGATTGGTTACAGTCAGGTCAAGGAGTGGATTAGAGGGCGGTGTGGGCCTGGTACCATGTTCAGTATTTACTACACAGAGGTCGTAGGTGGTAAAGAGCGTGTGAAGGGCTCGTCCGGCTGTATCGGTGGGGTCTGAAGGTTTCCAGTGGGAATGGCGTGCATTGAAATCTCCAGTTAAAATACAGTTTGTATCAGCGATATTCATGAGCAGGCGTTCTAAGCATTGGGTGAACATGGGCACTGGATGCCTAGGAGGACGATATATTCCAACGATATGCATTGGGAGGGAATGGGCATGAAGTTTCAGGACAAGCATTTCACAATCATGTTCCTCCAGGAAGGGAATACGCTCACATTGGATATTATCTCTAACCAGTACCGCGACTCCACCTCCACCCAGCTGGGACCAGGGCACGTTACACGAGCATCTGTCCCTGCGGTATATCTTGTAGCCGGGAAAGACTAGACAGGCATCAGGCATTGTATCATTTAACCAGCTTTCTGTTATGCACAATATGTCCACATCGTTCTCTTCTAGGAGCGCTGTGATGTCGGCTTGTTTGTGCAAAATACTCCGGCAGTTAACATTTCCAACTACAATACACGGGCTATTTACTGGCAACTTACTAGTTCGACACTGATGGTGGTTAGGAGACCCCCCGTGATCCTAGGCTGTTGAATCCGACAGGAGCCGTTGGACTTGTTGTTGTTGTTGTTGTTGTTGTTGTTGTTGTTGTTGTTGTTGTTGTTGTGTTTATTTTAATTCGCAAACCAAACGGGCAGATCTGCCCAATGAAAAGGTGGCGAATGCAGATAGAAAGCAGTAATAAATGAAATTGGGGACTGATGTAATTAGGATAGAGGTGGAGAAAAACTAAGCCAGCTGATCATCAAACAGGACCCTCCATGAGAATAGCATCGAACGGCAGAGAGCACTTGATGCCTCGCCGGCGCAGTTCCTTGTACGTTGCTACATGTGACCTTCTGTCTTGTTGCTGCTTGCGAGTCAGATCATGCCCGACATACAGAGGAGCTCCATCATCAGCTTTCAAATCGAAGCGGCGCTTGTATATGTCAGATTTCGAACCCGCAGTTCTCAGTTGTACTCGTACTGGGCGATATCCACGTGCAGCGGCGGCAGAGTATTAAGTATCGCGTTCATTTGGAATGATATCGTCCTTCCATAGCCCTCGTATAAGAGTTTCCGCCATGTCATGTCCTCGAACATTGTGTCTGCCCATTTGGTCCAGGCCCCTTGCATTTGTAGGCATTTTAGGTGCCGGAGCTGCTCCTGGCAGTCGCCTTCTCTGATTGTATTGAGGATTTGTTTCCTTGGTTTTACCACGGGTGCTTTTGATGTCACGAAACCCAGTCCGGCTCTGGGTGGTCGTGAAGCAGGCGTGTCCGATACGGCCGTTTCGGCACATTCCAATTCCACAACCGGCGAGAACCTACGGGTGAACGTTTGTTCTTGTTTTCTATGATGGCAATACAGTTGAGCGATGTTGTGGTCTTTGCTGTGCTTGATAATGTGCCATTTAATACTTTGCTGCTGTTTCCATGGTGTTGTGAACTTGTGATACACGCGAGCCGGAGGCCTGGCCTTTCTCGAATTCCGGTGAAGAGGATGGCGGTGCTTGCAGCCTTGGGTAGGCCTGCCTACTTTTTATTAAAGGAGAGGCTGATGTCATGAAGCATTTTGGCAAAACTGTGACACAGGTCAAGTATCTCTAGGTGCCATGATATTTTCGGGATGATCAGATGTTGATAGAGCCAGAGTTTCTGGTGACCGACAAGGTGGGTTTCATGCACCAGTTTTAAGAGGTATCTAGTAACGTCAACGAGATCTTTGCGTTGCTCCTCCTCTTTCACGTTGTCCGTCAAATTTCTCCCCAGAAATTTGAATTGCCGACCATTTAGCGGCGGTACATCCTTGCCGGATATTATAAGGCCGGGGTCGAAACAGGTGTACTTGTTGTTGATTAGTTTCGCCGCGTAGGTCCTGCATTTATGTGGGGCAGCTTTCATTTGCGACCAGGACAAAAACTTGAAGAAGAAGAAGAAGAAGAAGAAGAAGGGAAATGCTCACCATCAAATGGTGGATAAAAACCGTTTCGACTGCTTTTTAGACAGTCACGGGTAAAGAAAAAAGGAAAAAGAAACTCATATAATGCAATTCGAAGAGATAGGCCCCCAGTACAGTTGGGGTGTGGTTGTGTCCGTATGGTATGGTGTGTCATGTACAGGTAGTTGCGTTGTGATGTATGGTAATTTGTAGTAGGCTATGAAAATAACGATTCGACAGGAACAAGTGACTACGAGAGGCTGGCAAGGTTGGCGATCGTCCACCCCCGGCCCTTTAGAGGCCGGAATGGCGAGTTCAAATCTTGATTTTAAGGACGTCCAACTATCCTCGCTGGGTGGCCGATCGCCCACCAAAAGAAGAAGAAGAAGAAGAAGAAGAAGAAGAAGAAGAAGAAGAAGAACAACAACAACAACGACGACGACGACGACGACGACGACGACAACGACGACGACGACGACGACGACGACGACGACGACGACGGGATACTTGCTAGGTCTCAGGTCGTTGAATGTCACAGTAACATGTCAGTTTTGTGCCCTGTTATCGCACTTTCTGACTGCTTATCATCTTGTTACACTTCGGCCGCTAACTTAGGGGCTGCGATAGGGACTTCCCCAAGACTATGTTAACAATACACAAATAGGAGATCCCCAGATAGGCGTTAGCCTTTGGGTAATCCTGAAATAAAGATTATTATATTATAATTATATTATTTCGCTCCTGCTCTTGTAGCAGTTGAGCACTCTTGCGTGGGGTAGTGCCTTTGCTGTTTGCGTTATGCAGAGCTCACTGACTTGTCAGTTTGAGCACTCTGGCAAGGTACGTTCGGGCCTGATCGGAAATTTTTATTTCCATTGCTATCAGGTTCGGCCTCATTTCCTCTGTGCTGCGCTGACGAGTCCACAAAGGACGAAACAGTTCTGTCCGCAGATTGAGTATTTCGCTCCTGCTCTTGTAGCAGTTAAGCACTCTTGCGTGGGGTAGTGCCTTTGCTGTTTGCGTTATGCAGAGCTCACTGACTTGTCAGTTTGAGCACTCTGGCGAGGTACGTTCGGGCCTGATTGGAAATTTTTATTTCCATTGCTATCAGGTTCGGCCTCATTTCCTCTGTGCTGCGCTGACGAGTCCACAAAGGACGAAACAGTTCTGTCCGCAGATTCATATACTCAATCATTGAGTATATTAAATTATTATAAAGTTCGGCAGTGGACTGATGAAGTTTTGCGACTGGCCGAGATTGCTCAGAGTCAGCCCCAGGCAGCATATTCCGCTTTGTGCCAAGCCATACGAAGCAAATGGTCTTTTGTATGCCGGACGATGGAGGTCTCCGAGCACGCATTGGAGCCACTGGAAAGGGCCATCCACCACAAGCTGATACCGGCCATCACTGGCCGCTCCTCGCCCAATGACTCCATGAGGCGCCTTTTTGCATTGCCTTGCCGGCTGGGTGGTCTCGCGATAGTGCAGCCTTCAACTCTAATACGTCAGTATGACACGTCCAGGTTCATCACTGATCCCATTGTGCAACTAATCAAGGGAGGCATCCACGCCCTCGGAGATGCGTTGGATGTTGTCCGGAAGAGGAAGAACCAATCGAGGTCATCGAATCGAGGAGGCCAGTCGGATACACTGTCGTCTGTTATCGCGGATTCTTCGCCAACGTTGTCCGAACAATTGACCTGGCAAGGGAGAGGGGAGCTTCCAGTTGGCTGACCTAAAAGCCGTTACGTCGCTATGGGTTCAACCTAACGAAAGGTGAATTTAGAGATGGACTTTGCTTACGGTATGGCTGGACACCCCAGCGGCTGCCGTCATCATGTATATGTGGGGTTGGTTGGTTGGTTGGTTGGTTGGTTTTTATTTCACTTCGCACATTCAAACGGGATGACGACCCAATAAAATGACGGCGAAGGCTTAGCCTAGAAGTGGCTATGGAAGAACATAGTAAAAGCTATGGAAGCACATAGTAAGAGAATTATTATTATTTGTGCTCCCGCGTCAATGGGCTCGCCCAAATTCGCTTGCACCGAACCATGCGAAAAAAGGCCACCAGCAGGCAGGCAGGCAAAGAAAAATAGAAAATGGTGTCACATAAACTAATACAAACAAGAATATCATTATTGATGACATTAATATACTGAATGAATGGCAAAGGCCATGTGAATACGGATAATACGGATAATCAGAGTACCAACAACAAAGAATGTAGCTCAAACCATTGCAGTGCCAACTTCCTTCACCAGTACTCTGCCTTGTACGCATCTGTAACTGCGTTGCACAGATATGTCCATTCACGGCGATCCAGTGCTCGCTGAGCCATCAGCTGCAAGTCCCTTGGAGTCCTCAGACGGCAGCCGACTCGCTCCGCGTCTTGATTCAGCAGGACCGGTAGCGTGATCCGCGGCCGCCCACGGTATCCCGGCACGGAGCAGCCAAAGAATCCACTCATGGCCTCCCTAGCCGGTGTGTGCTCATCTGATCGCAGGATGTGGCCAAACAACCGCCATCTTGCATTCACCAGAATGTTGCCAAGTGGAGCAGCACTGCAGCGCTCGTAAACCAAACCGTTCGACAGTCGGTTGGGCCACCTGATACCCAAGATATGCCGAAGTTGCCGCCGATGATACGACTCCAGCGCTTCAATTGTCTGTCGAGTGATGCCCCATGTGGAGCAGTTGTAAAGCAAGACAGGTAACACGAAGCAGTTATACAGCCGGACGCGCACCTCCAGACTCACTTGGTCTCTTCTCTTCCATAACTGGCAGAGGGACTTAAACGCTATCGCCGCAAGCTGCTTTCTGCGGGTGACATCCTCTGCATCACCAAGGAGAGAGCCGAGTTTCTTGACCATACGCTATGGCTCATCAGCACGATCGGCCTCTCGCTGGATGGCTGTGAATTCTGTCTTGGTCTGGTTGACGGTAAGGGACCATGTACCCAAGATGGTGGCAACTTGTGGCTCTAACATCCGAAGCCAATCACTAGAGATACTGATGAAGTCCACATCATCGGCGTACTCCACATCGTACGGAAGATGCCGGGCCACAGGTGCAGCCATTCGCTGTCGCACATCCTGCAGGGCAGCTTCCAGGTAGATCACGAATAGAATTGGCGACAAGGAGTCGCCTTGCGGGGTACCAATGTTAGTGGAGAAAGAGCTTGATGTTTCCGTGCCCAGTCTGACTGCCAAATTCGTATCTGAGATCAGGTAACGGATCAAGCGTACCTCGTCTTCTTCCAAGAATCGCTGAACCACGTCCATCAACTGTCCTCGCCTGATCGTGTCAAAGGCACGTGACATGTCGATGCCCAGTATGCTGAATGACCAGTGGTACCGCTGGGTCGTAGCTGCTAACCACCGATGGCACCAGACCACATCAGCTGTTGACCTTCCTGCACGAAAACCACTTTGGTTCAGTGATAGGAAATCGTTTACGGCTGGCGAGATGCGCTTGAGGACTACCAGCGACATGACTTTGCGTAGAGTTGTCAGGAGGATGATCGGTCGCAGACTGGTTAAAGCACCCACCGGCTTTCCGGGCTTCTGGAGAGGTATTAGTGTGCCATGACCGATGAATGGCTCTACCCGGTGTTGCTGAAATAGGCTGTTGATGCATCGGCTTATGACGGGAGCAGTGGCATCGGCTGAGTACTTCAACAGCTCACCCGGGATGTTGTCGGGTCCTGCAGCTCTACCGTTGTTGAGTCTTGCTAGTGCTGTTTTCACTTCCTCCGTTGAAACGGGATGCTGCAGCGGTCGAGGTTCCCCAGTGAAGGATCCAAATTGCTGAATTGCAGAGTCACTGAGCTGCGATGAGAAATGATTCTTAAAGGGGAAGTTTACCCTAAAATCAAATTTTCACCAGTTGTAGTCTTCGGGGTGCTGAGTCGAATGGTCTTGGTCCGAGGAAGCTGAGACGCTCCCTTCCTACTTGAATCCCAATCGAACTCGCGCACTTCCACCGAAACTGTGTGACTGCGCCCTACTAGATGGGGATTTGTATGCAAAATGTCACTAAAAGCGCCATTTCGTTCTTATAAAAGCACGGATGACCGCGATTGGCCCATATGTTGTAGTCTTTTGGACGCTGAGTCGACTGGTTTTGGTCCGAAAAGGCTGCGATGCAGCGTTCCTCCTTTATTCCCAATCGAACATGGTTGAAGGAGCGGTCACGTGCTCCTGCGTACACCAGTCACCTGGTCACCGTGCCTGCAGGGTACAACTTACTAGCCTGTTTGACCTTTTTTGGGTGCAGTCCTGTCACTCGAGTTGAACTCGAGTTGAACCTTGGTGTGAAAGTTGTCGCCTGCTGGCGCGGTGACCAGGTGATTTGGGCACCCAGGAGCACGTGACCGCTTGTTCAACCATGTTCGATTGGGAATAAAGGAGGAACGCTGCATCGCAGCCTTTTCGGACCAAAACCAGTCGACTCAGCGTCCAAAAGACTACAACATATGGGCCAATCGCGGTCATCCGTGCTTTTATAAGAACGAAATGGCGCTATTAGTGACATTTTGCATACAAATCCCCATCTAGTAGGGCGCAGTCACACAGTTTCGGTGGAAGTGCGCGAGTTCGATTGGGATTAGGCCTTGACGGATTATGCTAGCATAATTTTTCGCATAATTCCTACCAAAATCGAATAATCGCATAATTCGAGGCAAATTGCATACGAATCGCATAAAATTGGAATAATCCGCCTGTTCGCATCAAATTCCATACAGTTGTACATGTTCTACAAGTACAAGTACAAGTAGATGCACTAGGAAGTTGTGGGTTTACGACTCCCTTGGTAACATGTCCAGTCCACTACAATCAGTGATGGTCGTAGCTAGGTCGGACGGTGCGTTGACCCCGTTGAACTTTTGCTATTACAGTACAACGCCCTCTACAAAAAAAATCCCCTGTTATTTTGCACAGAACCATTATGCATTAGCAGCATATGTGAGCATAATGCGGCATAATATGCTAACTTTTAGCATAAAAATAGCATAATTCTGCAATTTTTTCAGCAATGCGAAAAGCATAATTTCACGAAAATATTAGCATAATCCGTCAAGGCCTAATTGGGATTCAAGTAGGAAGGGAGCGTCTCAGCTTCCTCGGACCAAGACCATTCGACTCAGCACCCAGAAGACTTTCTGCGATGGCTTTCGCCGGAGCAAGTGTACAGAGTAGTAAGAGAATAGGATACTAATAACTGCGGGTAAACGGGGGGAGAGAAAGAATACGATGTATCTGTGATACTACGTGCGGGTTACTGAGCTGCACGGGGAGGGAGAGCAGAGCGATCAGCAGCAACTCGAACTACTCCCTACAGGCGTATGGTACACATGCATGCTTAAACTCAGGTAGCCGGGTAATTGTGCGGACCTCACCAGGGAGAGCGTTCCACAGCAGAGCACCAGCAACAGAAAATCTCCGCTGACCGCGGCGGCTACGGTTTGCCTGGCTTAGTAGGCCATTTGACTGCTGATGGCGGGTAGGGGTGCCTTGTGCCGGGGTCAGAAGCTGGGCGAGCACAGGGCTGGTGCGGGCGTGGATGCACCGCCAGATGGTGATCAATATTTTCTGCCTATAGAGCTCGCTGACACGGTACAGGGAGTGAGCAGTGAGCAGCGGCTGCATGGCTGTCCGGGGCGGGTTGCCATCGATACAGCGGATGGCTCTGTTTTGCGTGGTTTGCAGTCGTTTCAGTTGGTGACCGCCTCTGTGAGCCATCTCTTATCATGCGCAGTTGGCGGTTTTCCATCTATATTAGACACAACGAGATTAGAGACGTAACGGCTTCACTTTTGAAGATAATATGCAATAATGTGGCCATTGAGCCAAGTTTACAACCATTAACCGTAGAGCGACTTCGCTACCGCACAGCAATCACCGAGGACCAGGCACGTCTTGATATCGGTGTCAGTAGATTGTGGGGCAGTCGTTTCGAGCGCACACTCATTGATGTACGGGTGTTTAACCCTCATGCTGCCTCGAACCGCATTGCACCACTGGCCACTGTCTATCACCGACATGAACAGGAAAAACGGAGAAAGTATGACCAGCGCGCGGCGCCCTCTCCAACTTGTCCCGCCTGCCAGGGCGAACACCTACTCGCTTGCCACTTTCCTCTTTGTTACCGCTGCCACCTGGAATTCTCTCCCAACTGACATAAGAACCACCCAAAATAGTCATTGCTTTGTGTCTTGTGTCCGTACCATCTTTGCCAACACCCGCTTCGAACCCGCTGGTTTCATTCCTTCCAGAGTTTCTATAACATGGTAATGAATGTTATGGCTGATTTCTACAGTACACATTTGTTATAACCCTTCCTCTTCTCAATCTATAATATGTTATAATTTTGCAGATATATTCCCAGTAAGCCATGAACGGAGACCCCCTCGACTTAGGCCTCGGCCTTTGGGGAATCCATAAATAAATATATTTAAAAAAATGAGGAGCGGGTCCGGAATGTCGAAAATGCGTATTTTGCCCCGGTGGTCATGACGGCGTCTAGGCCTTGACGGATTATGCTAATTTTTCGCATAATTCCTACCAAAATCGAATAATCGCATAATTCGAGGCAAATTGCATACGAATCGCATAAAATTGGAATAATCCGCCTGTTCGCATCAAATTCCATACAGTTGTACATGTTCTACAAGTACAAGTACAAGTAGATGCACTAGGAAGTTGTGGGTTTACGACTCCCTTGGTAACATGTCCAGTCCACTACAATCAGTGATGGTCGTAGCTAGGTCGGACGGTGCGTTGACCCCGTTGAACTTTTGCTATTACAGTACAACGCCCTCTACAAAAAAAATCCCCTGTTATTTTGCACAGAACCATTATGCATTAGCAGCATATGTGAGCATAATGCGGCATAATATGCTAACTTTTAGCATAAAAATAGCATAATTCTGCAATTTTTTCAGCAATGCGAAAAGCATAATTTCACGAAAATATTAGCATAATCCGTCAAGGCCTAACGGCGTCAGGTGGTTTTGGGCGTTCGGCAACCAGCCTGTATAAGATAATCGCATCGCTGCTGGCTGAATGAACCATATAATTCTCATGTCATGGCTTTTGTCAGGTGCCGCATTTCCTTTGCCCTCCAAAGGTCATGTATAGTGTGCCTTAGAGGGTCTAGAACATTATTTGGAAAATATCAACAAAGAATGGATCAACAAGAGCCTCCCGCCACGCTGGCGGTTTCAGAGGCAGCTATTGCTGTTTAGTTTATTTTTATATTTTTTACATAATATATATTTCTAGGGCTTTGTTATATCATCGTATGTATTAATTTTGTACAGGCGTTGCGGCCGGATTCCTGCAAAAAAAGTGTGTAGTGTATGTATACATGTAGGCTAGCACTGGTCAGTTACGTAATTACGTACATGTACATGACATCATTGACATGTACTGTACAATCATGACTTGTACTACTACAGCGCTGGCAACTGAAATCCGACCACCTGGGCTTTAGCGGCGCGGCGCGCCGCCCAGGTGGTCGGATTTCAGTTGCCAGCGCTGTAGTACAATCATGTACAGTACATCATCGAATCCTTGCCCTTGCCCCTTGGTGAACGCCGTGCCCAGACAGAAAGTTTGAAATCTCTTTGCTCGAGGTCAATGCCACAATGGCTGCTATTCAACTTGGAACTCCCGAGTTCGGATCCTCCCACTACAATGTCATGGACGATATCTGCTGCGTGGCGTGTCATCGCCCTACTCGTCCTTTGAAACTGCTGATGTGTTTTCATGCGATGTGCCTACCTTGTGTGCGTGAGCATATTGATACAGATGGAACGGTATCTTGCTTCAGATGTCTCACGGTTGCCGGCAAGGCGAACCCTGGGGCGCACCTTGAAGAGTCATTGGCAGACTGGCCAGGACCTGTACGAGGCCAGCAGGTGAAGAACGCGCCGGACAGCATCAGGACCAACGAATCGCCCAGCATGGGTCACGAAGCTGCGGCGTGCACCAGCAGCTGCCCCGAGCCAGTGTGCCAGAGTCCGGAATGCGAAGGAGAGTGCGAGCCTGCGATGTCGCACTGTGTTAACTGTGACCTGGACCTGTGCGAAGATCATGAAAAATTTCATTTGAAGAAGAGGAGTACGCGCGATCACACGCTGCAGCCGCTAGATCAAACCACACACACGCGCACAACAGAGCGTGCGTGTCCCTTGCATCCGCACTTGCCCCTGAAGTCCTATTGTGACAACTGCGAGTGCCAGACGTTGGTGTGCGAGCGCTGTTCCGCAAAATCTCACTCTGATCATTCCCACTGCTTGAAGGACATTCAGGAGGCTGCAGACAGACAGCGAGCGGAGTGGAAAGAACGGCTAAGCAGCTGCAGTGAATCATGGAGGGAGAAGCTGAGCACGGCCGGTATGAACATTACGTTACACATTGAACAAATCAATGGAAAAGTGGAAAGATTATCAGCGGAGATAACTGAAGAATTTGAAGCGTATATCAAC